AACCCGCAAAGAGTGATGTTGGCGTGACTCAAAAGTATGAGGCTTAACCTTAAAGTGATCGTGCGAGCCGTTGGGGGCATCTACTAAATTAATATTTTTCATTTTCATCATAAGTGCAGAAAGAAAAGTAGACGATTATTTACCTTTAGCAACATGCTGTCTATTTAGTATACTGTAGCCAAAAAATCTGAAGATGTCTTCGGTTTTAGAATTAAATCTCTCCACATGGCCCCACACTAAGTCCACTGCGGTAATATGAATTTTTTATCGTTAAAATTATTCCACTTTTTTCAACCTCTTTGTGAACAATCGCTGATAATTTAAAACCAAACGATTATTGGCGCCTCGAACAAAAGCAAACGCAGCATTTTAAAACAGTACAATCCTCACTGCCAATTAAAGCGAAACATTTCTTCACTACTCAAATAAAAAAAACACAAAAATGTGAAAAGTACAACTACTCAGTCATAATCAGCAGCTTATCTCCTTAAAAATGCGAAATAAAATCGCAGAACAAAAGATCGCTTTCAGCAAGCACTGTAGTGACACTCCCCCAGCGCATCTTACTCATCTGATTTTCGCATCTTACGCTTCAGAGATACCAGCTTCGCAATCCACCAGATTTGGCTTTGATGTTTGTCTGAGGTGCAGAAAAAAATTTTAACAACAAAAACGGTTATTGTCAGCAGAGCTGCAACGAATAGTTATGTATGAATGTCAAAAGTTTTCGTTTCTTTTTTTTTTTTTTAGTTTCAGTGTTGCTACATCACTTCTTCTGTGTAAGATATGGACGACTTTTTTTTGTTGTGTGACTGTCAACGAGTTGAGTTCTGCTTGCGTCTTGCTCCTTATGCGATTGTTTATTATAGTGTTTGTTCGAAAATCATAAGGAAGTGGCGAAAAAATTAAGTTTATCGCTGTGAAATGAGCAAAATGTTACAAATTTTTGACATGACACATCGGGTGGCAGCCACGCACAGCTACCTTTTGAGCGAAACAATAACTTTGAACATTGTTGAAAAGTCATGCGTGAAACTGGCAAGAATTATGGGGTACAGTGTGTGTGCATAGTTTGCGTACGAAGGACTTTTTAATGAAGACTGAAATTGTTCAGAGTCTATTGATCTCTTTGTCTATATATGTATTTAAGTCCGCATTTCAATTATATTCGATTATACCGATAAAGAGCTATTACTTATTTTAAAAACTATCGCTTAACATCATTCGCTTAAGCCGAATGAAACATTAAATTTTTTAGGAAAATGGCTCGTGATTTCCAGTTTTTCGAGTCCTATAGAAGAAGTTATGCTCTAGTCTTGGCTGAAATTAAAGATCTTGTATAGCATTATAGCGTACTTTTTATTCGAGTGATATAGTAAAATTATGAGAAGGACGCACAGCTGCATGCAAATAAAAAAAAAATACAATAAAAAATGCATTTCTTAAATTGAGATGTTAAATTTTTTTGTATATTTTTAAGCAGTGAACATTACTTAGCTTTCAAAACCATTTTGTTGGTATCAAAATATTGCTTCTGTCGAAAGCGCTACGATTAATTCCCAGGGAGCACATTGTGCGCCGGCCTGCCCGCGGGCAAAGCTCTTTTAAGGACCGGTGACCACCACCTCTTTATATCAAGTAGTCTCTCAATTATTCAAATATAACAATGATGAGCAATTTCTACGAATCTACCTTTATATTAGGCGAGCTAGACTTTAGATGGTAAGGTTGGGCTGATAGAGACTCTGATGTAAATTTCTAAAAATTCATTAAGGGTTAATGAGACCGACTTCGAGCGCCTAACCTCAAAAGTTATTAAGATTACTTCAAAAAAGTCATGTAATCGTATTTCTTAACTTTTGTAACTCAGTGTTGCCTTTTAGAATACCGCCAGGTTTTTAATCTTTTGTTTCCAAATTTTAAGCCATAAACTCGCTTATTTACACGGACATTTCTTTGAAATTGAACCAAAGGCTGCACAGCTTTTAGCCGACTTGCCGACGGTTGACTGTCGCATCAGCTGTGGTTGTCATATTTGGACACTGAGCGGACAGATGCGACACGCATTTATTTTTTTGATTAAAATTATCTTTCTTCTGCATGCTTTGTAACGGTTATACTTTTCTTCATTTCAAGAAACTTATGAGAAGTGATCCTTCTTTTCCTTAGCAATGAAGTATGTATATTCGAAATTTTTTTAATTCATATGTATTTGTGATTTGTTTCTTTTTTCAAACCAATATTGAGTCACTGCGTCCAAATATTTAACAACTTAGCATTTCGTTATACCTCTGTCGCCAAAAAAGGGGTCTATGCAGCTTTTAAATTATTTTGAAATTCCTTGAACATTTAAGGCGTTCCCTCAGCAAAATTCGCTGTTTTCTTTTAATCTTTATTCCTGCTTTTTGAATATTATTGCCGCATTTTACCTGAAATGGCAATAATAATTTAATTAGCTGGCTGAATATGCGCTGAATTATTTTTTTTTTTAACTTACCTTTATTTAGCTTTCAGTTAGCTTTGTTTTGTTTTTATTTTACTTGGCTGGTTAGTTGCTCCAGCTGCGCTCGTTAAAATATTCCATTAAATTAAATTTAATGCAACATGACTGCAATTATTCTTCGCTCTCCCTCACTTCCTTCCCGCTCTGCACCAATATTGTTCGAACAATTTTTTTTTTGCTTATTTTATTTGTGTTGGTTTTTCATTTTTTTTTTTTTGCTCGCATATTTTCTTAAGCTGCAGCATCATGCGGCGGGGCATCAGCTTGCAATTCTCTCATCGCTTGGCGGCACGTTGCAAATCATTCAATTCTAATTAACCAGCATTCGCTCATTCCCGACAATTCGCAATGTACCTAGCTAGTACTTGCTCGCGCGCAGTGTGGCCTGGCAGTTGATATGCTCCTTTATATGGATGTGTGTGTGTGTGAATGTGTGCAAGCTTGTACATGCCAGCTTTAGCTTGACTTTAGCGTCAGCGTCAGCTTTAGCTTTAACCGATGTTGCAAACTAAATTTACGGCCACCAGTGCCACCAATAGCGCCATGGCTTGCATATATTTCCTGTTGTTGTTGTTGTTGTTGTTGTTAGTGTACATATATTTGTCGTCGACGCCAATTTCTCAATGCGTGCATTTGATATCCAATTTCTTCTTCTACACTTCTGTTGCTCATCAATTTCAATTCCGCGTTGCTGCTGCTGCTGCTGTCTGCTGTCTGCTGTCTCCGTTGCCATGTTTTACTGCTGTTACTGTTTCCGTGGCTACAATGTTGAATTTGCTGGCTGGCATTCCCTGTGTTCAAGCTTCTTTCACTAATGGGCCATCAGTTATGTATGTAGTTGACTCACTGGCTGTATGTAACTTGCAACTTGCAACATATGCCACTCGTCTGCCACTGCTGCGATCTACTGCGGGGTGTCTTCTGTTGTTTATGGCGTTCTTCTACTGTTAACATTTTATACACATTTGAGCCATTCACATTCCACCATTTTTTTGTTGTACATAGCAAATGAATAATCGCAAGAAAATCCACTCTGCTTGAAGTTTAATAACAGCAGCTTTGTGATGCAGCGAACTTTAGTGCTGCTCCCGGTGAATTATTGGTTTGTGTACTAAATATTTTCATATGAATAGCCCATACTTTAAATTTAAAGTTTTCGGGACTCAAAAGTTCACTTAAGCCTAAAACATTAAAGTAATCTGAATCGTATCGAATCAGAGTCACATATTCCATCCTCTTGCTAGGAAATTGTTTGCCCGAAACATCCTTCAAATGTAAATGTATCTTCCTGGTACCGTGAATATCAAAAAATAATTTAGGAAATAGTAAAGTAATCGATTTCTTCAATCGAAGATGATAGTGAAGATGATAATGAAGGGAAAGGTGAAGGTGAAGGTGAAGGTGAAGAATTATCGAAATCGGTTAATGTGGTCCAAAGTTATGCGGTAACATACATAAAAAATAATTAAATAAAAATAAAAAAAATATTCCAACGAACTGATAACCTCCTCCTTTTTTTGAAGTCTGTTAAATAAAGCTCTTGCAAAGAAAAATCTACTTAGGCAAGACATATACAGTGGCGATGGAAACCGAGTGCCCCACCAATGAAAGATGCTGGTTTTTCGAATTATAAAACGTATTATATTTAAGACCCTCGTTAAAATATTTCGGAAAAATAATAAGACTTACGTGAGCTGGACCGATTTCGAAGTACCTCCAAAAATCTATTTTTTTTATAAAATTGGATTAAATTTTTTTTATTCACCTCGGACGATAGAAGAGTTTAACTTAAAAGGTCAGCATAAAATTTTTTTAAAATTAGGTACAGGCGTTTAATTCAATCACGGGTGCCCTAACTAACTACCAGATTCCTTGATAATATGCATATGTATGTACATATATCATAGCCTGACTGTAAATATAGTGATTAGACTCGCCCGTTTTTCGGTTGATGCTCATCATTCCACTTCCTTAAACCTGGCTTAAACTACAGTTTTACGCCGACTCCGAACGACGATTGTATTTTTATGAGAAGCTGTTTTTCACGTCAGAAATACACTCGGAGGTTTGCCATTGCCTGCCGAGGGACGACCGCTGTTAAGAAAAAACCTTTTTCTATATTTTTTGCGATGTTGCTTTGACCAGGGCTTGAACCCAGGTGCTGATGAGTGAAAGCGGCCGACAAGATAGCCGATAGAGTTTTCTGAGATAGGGCGTTTTCGAACTGGCTGCCGGGTTAGGACGATCTTCCACTCAGCCATCGATATCTTCCCATTATTCACGTATGTTATGCATTACAAAGCACAAACAACCTGGGCCGTCCTTCACGGCATTGCAATACAATTCAGACAGATGGAGTCCTCAAATATGTAACTCAGCCAGCGCAGCAGATTTTTGCTGCGTCACAGAAAAGGCGTCATTTAGACCTGATGAGTTATACTGAGATAAAGAGTTCAATGCCCATTCCAATTCGGATGACATCATCAGATTTCCCAAAATGTTTTCCCCGTCTGCATTGGATGTACCAGTGTTGGACACCTTGATTTCGAAATACTTGGACCAGTGTAGCATACGTTGCCGATATCTACCACACCAATTAGATACTTGCGAATATCCCGAACTAACTGTAAATATACATACAAACATATGTACTTCATTAAGTAGTCTTATTTGCTGCCACCTACCTAGTTGAGTTGTCAGAAGCGCAAACTCCTCTTATTTACGCAGCTATACACCAGCGACTGCCAACTGCTGTTGCTGTAACAACTCCACTTTCACCCCCTTCTCCAACTCAGCCTCCAGCTGGCGCCAAATGCTTTTGCTTGGCTGACTGATCGCTTAAATATTTGCATTTAGCTGACCCAAACACTCTCCTCACGTTCGTTGCCTCACCTTATCTTATATGACATTTTAGCCGTTAACGTTGTTGTTTATTGCGCTTTAGTGGACAAGCAAAAACAACAGCGGTCATATTAAAAATAAAAAACGAAATAGCAAAAGGCCTGCAAGAAAGCTGCTAGCAATTTGCCACCAATGACTTTATTGAGCTGCGCTAATATTTACATAATTTACGGGCAGCTGTTTTTGTTGTTACTTTGCTGTGGCGATGAGTAGTAAACACTTAAGTGAGTTAATAAATTCTTGACTCGAGCCACCTTAATAGTTGTAGATTTCTCTGTAGCTAAAAAAAAGAACGACTTTGCTGAATATTATGCCTTATCAAGTTTATTTGTGTGTGTTTGTTTTTCCTCGAAATTGCACTTAACATTTTACGCTATTACATTTGCAAATTGGCGTGAAATTTGCTCAAACACAAAAACAAATACTTGCCTGGTAAACGGCGCTAGGTTGCAACACCTCAATAGATTCCCATGAAATTCGAGCTGAATGTGCAGCAGTCGCGGTGAGCTGATGAGCGTGGCTGCAATGGCACCAAATTATTTCCAGCGGCGCTGATCGAATTTTCTTGGGAAGCAGCTGGACAGAAACCATAACAGTAGCCAAGGCGACGTGCTCGAAGTGTGTGTATGAGCGTGCGAGTGTGTTGTTTCAAACGGTGGCAAAAAACAATAAATTCTACTTAACCACATTGCACGCGGCCTGCCATCCAGCCATGCAGCCATCCAGCCAGCTGCTACTGTCAATGCATATGGGACACTCTTTGCTTCATTACGAAGTATTGAGTGCAAAAGTCCAGGGCTTAGTTTTCTCCCTCGACACCATGCGCATTTCCACTCCACCACATTTTTCACAATCTTCCATCTGGCATTCATAAATCGGACTCAAGACCTGTGCGCCACAAACTGTTGCTCCAGTCCTTTCATCGTCGCAGTGTACTGCTCGCATATCGTCGCTCAACAAAAGGCAAAGTCCGAATCGCATCGCAAGCGCACTAACGTAAACGAAAGACAACGTAATTGTGGTCATCTCTCTTGACTCTGTGTCGTCGCCCGCTTCATCTTCTTAGCCAAATTGACTGCTTGTTTGCAGACTTGCATCAGTTGACCAATGAGCCATCAAATGCGCGATGCCCAACCGTTGGCCACCGAGCATTCAGTTGCTGCAAAGAAAAAATGAAGAAGATCCAAAGCTGTTGACTTCAAATATGGCTAAAATTATCCAGCTAAACAGCGCATAAAGCTAACAAAAAATTACTGGGCTAAAATGTTCTCAGGACCATTACCGGAATGTGTGTTGTTTGCATTGCGCACTGGAAGAAAATGAATGTAAATATGGTACAGAAGTGTGTCCTTTGGGTAAAGATCTCCAAATAAGCGGGATTTTGGAAATTGAATAGATCGACATTAGATGAGGCTGCGCAACTCTGATTTTACCACAGCAAAAGCACCCCATTTCATCCTTTTGACTAGCGTAGTCTATGCACATTCCGCCAGAAGAGGACTCCGTAAAACGTTATAGGGTTAGCTATGGCTTCCTAGAGTCTTCAACTAGTCGTAGGGAAGAGGTCTCAACTCCTTCCAATTTCCCTCCTGCAGAAGTGAGCTTTTTCGACAGCTTCTCCACTTGAATTGAGTCCAATCAAGTACCTAATTGGTAGAACAGTCGCGGGGAGTATTATATATTTCATAGCAAACATGGATCTTGTCGTTTCAGGATATACACCACCCTTTGTTAAGGCTCTGTTTACCTAGTCGCAGAGCATGCGGAATATAAACTCGGTGCCTCCAAAAGGACATCGCTTAAAGCCCCGTCAGTGTCGAAAAAGATACCCACTGTGGAGCCTTTATGGCCGTGTGGCAAACTATTTCGACTGACCAATTAAGAATGCATGCAATTTGAGCTCCCGCTAGATGATCTTGATAAATTACTGTTTTTAATATGTATGCCGATAAATCAGCATCTCCAGTACCTTTTTAGCAAAAGCGAATAGAGAATGAATGGCCTGAAACCCTTGGGAGCGATGTTGGTATGAACGCCAACCTGACCACCCTCCAAGCCCCGGGTATACTATAGCAAGCAACAAGCACATACTGGAGCCATCCAACGATGCGACATTAAAGTCTTTAGGAACTGCGCGGGAATAATGTCGTCTGGTCCCCGGACTTGAAGGGCTTTAGAGGGTTTATCGCAGAAGAAAAACATCGTTTATCCAACAGTCCAATTTCCCGCTTCGTCCCGCATTTACTCCAAGGGAGTATGGTACCTCGCAATCGCGCGTCTAAATCTGAATTCATAGCACTCCTCTACGCTTTCGCTGAAAGATTCCTTTTTATTTTAATTCTCAATCAAGATAACTTAGTCCTGTAGACCCTTTTAAAAAGTCGTATATTTCACGGCCTGAAATCAGACTTCTCTGCTGTTTTTCAGAGGTGCTTCGGTCTGTCTATTTAAACATTTTTATTGGGATTTCAAAATCGACTAGCAGACGCGATTTTGATCGATTTGGAATTTCGAAAAAATGCATTTTCTACCTTCAACGAATAATCATAAACACACTTTTACATTGAGGGATCGTTTCAAGGGTCTTCCAGGTCTAAAATGAGATGATGGGCTTAGACCTTCTTTGCATTGACTGCCCTAGCAATCTGAGCAATGTCTTAAGGAAGTGCACTCAGCGGACCATTTTAACTGTTAGTATTTTACTCCGTCTAACGTTTACAACTATTGGAAATTGTTCTCAGTGTGTTTACGTAAAAAGCAATTTGAGAAAAGAATTTATATTTGCGACCGAAACTACAACCACAATCCGTCCTCAGGTTTTCCTTCCCCCCCCCCCCCCCCCCTCAATCATCCTCAACACTGTGAGACAGAGACTAAAAATGTGGTTAGTTTTAAAGACGAAATGCAAGCAAACGGAAAAAAGGAAAAGGAGAAGACGTAATCCTAATTTATGCGCAAATAATGATGAGCACGACAATATGACTTGTTGCAACCGCAAGCAGACGTGGTACCATGAGGCAAGTCACCAACTCTTTGGTTAAGCAGGCAGGCAGAGGGGAGGGACTGCAAACGAAAAAATGAAATGATAAAGAAATACGAACATTGCATACAGTGGGCAGTTTTGAGCGCACATATGGAGATGAGTCTGCCGATTTGGGTTTTCACAGCCGCGAGGGAAAGAGGAAAGCCTTGAGATTTGTGTGTTAGAAGTGACTGAGGAGTAAAGAGCAGGAGTGGTCAACGGTTGCGGGCTTGGTGTCCGACTCGCACCTTTTTTGTTGAATTGGCTTGCGAATGTGAAGGATTATATGGATTATGATGAGGATTTAACGCAAAATGCATTTATGGCTTCTTTATTAAAAGATGTAAAGAAAAAATTAAAGTGTTGATGAAACCAAATTTTGTGCAGTAAGCGCCATGGCGAGCGGTTTGTTTCACCGGTCGAGTGGTGACTCGAAGGGTTCACACATGGAAATCGTAGTCATGAAGATGCGAATAAAACTCACTGCACTCACGGCGTTGACGACGGTGGTAATATATCAGGCTTTAATTGGGATTATGCGTGAAGGAAAAACCACATGACGCTCAGCAGCCGCCAAATGTGATTCGGACGGACAATCGGCCAACTCAACTGCAAGTAAATATGCCACATTCAATGAAAGGCCCATTGTTTGCCTACTCATGATGCAGCATACTTTCGAGTATTTGTGTATAACGGTAGATAATTGAGGAAAGTTTTGGACTGTCTCTGTTCTGTGCTCTAAAGTGAAACTTATAATGGGCTGACGTGATCGATGACAAAGGAATTACCGATTGAATGGGACTCAAATTGGTTGAAATCGTTTGGACAGTTTACCTAAGGGCGCCTTCTTTGCATTTTATCGATATGCTTGCGTTTATTTCTGCTCATGTGCATATGCCTTCAAGCATTTATCTGAGAATTGGCACGTGTCGCCGCTTTTTGACCACTTCTGTCTGCCGCAACACGCATGGCCGCAATACAAGTGGGCGGCGCGTTTAATTGAATTAAATGTTGAAAAGTCGCTTAAGCGCAGTTTATCTGTTAGCGAACACGTGCACACTTGGGGGAGAGCGAAGTGGCGCTTCTTCAGGGTGCGTATTTGTAAAGTAATGAAAAGTATAATTAAAAATTTTGATGAAATTTCTGAAACCGAATTGCTGTTGATAAAGTTTCGAGCCGACATTCGGGATCATAAAGAAATGTAAATCACTATCAGATAAATATTTGATATGCTGCGTTATTGTTTTCACTAATATCAAACTAATAATTAAGTAAAACTCGTTCGTATGTATGTATGTACATACGTGTATGTCCCATAATAATACAAAGAACCCTACAACCATAAAACACTTATAATAACCAAATAACTTGCCTGAAAGAACAAAATGATCTTCTAGATTAAAAATATTATTAGTTCTAAGAAATATTTATTGACTCGGATAAACACATCCATGAACTGATAATTACATAATTTTTTTAGGCAAATAGTATTTAGTTAAAAGATATTAATACTTAGGAAAATTAAATAATACTCAAGAAGTAGCTCGAAAGCCATTCCCTCACCTCGTTTGGTTTAGATCTGAGTTATTTTCCAACATTTGATGGGACTCCGAAAATTTGTCGTTGCTGCATTTGCCACATATTTGTATATAGAAAGGCCCACTAGTAAATTTCAATCCGTTGATTCATGAAGACATTCAGTC